GGCCCTGGATCCTCAGCGCTTCCCTCAGCATCGGAAGCTGGATCAAGTGCAAGAAGAGCTGATCTATTCGATGCACGCTCAGGGCGCTAAGGCCGTCCAGATCACAAAGAAGTTACATGAAGGAGATACATTGAAGCGCAAGTTCCACAATTACGACATTCAGAACGCCAGGCATCGGGTCGAAAGGAAGCTTGAAGGCCAGGGACCTCTCCAGGCGCCCATGCATCGCTTGCTGTGCTGGTTGGAGGGAGAGAATGCTCAAGGCCTAGAGTACACCATCAATCGCAAAGAGAGCGGTCATCTGTCAGCTCTCTGGCTGTTGTCGGTGTCTTCAAGCGAGCTGCTCCGTTGCTACCCTTCAGTCCTCTACATGGACTGTACCTACAAGACCAACGTCTACAGGATGCCGCTCTTCCACATTGTAGGCGTCACCTGCACGCAGCAAACGTTCACTGCCGGGTACTGCTTTCTCACAGGAGAGCGAGAGTCCGACTACGAATGGGCTTTACAACGACTGCGCACTTGTCTCAATGATCACAGCCCGGTGACTATAATCACTGATCGTGAGCAGGCATTGCGCAATGCCATAAGGCTAGTCTTCCCGGAGGCAAATGCACTGCTCTGTTGCTGGCACATCTATCGAAATCTTGAATCTCTCTGTCGGCGAGCAATACCAACAACCGATGGGTGGGACTTGCTTCAGCGCCAATGGGAAGCATGCGTCTATGCTGAGACGTTCGACACCCTCAATGAAGCCTACAACGCTCTTCTGCTCTCTTGGCTTGACAATCAGCACGTCATCGAATTCGTCAAGGGGGCTTTGAGCGACAAAGAGAGCTTCGTCCAAGTCTACATTCAATGCATCATGACCTTTGGCACTAGCGGTACCTCTTGCGTGGAAGGGGCGCACGCTGTCCTAAAGCAATCGTGGTTGGATCAGCATAAAGCAGGGCTGGCGTACTGCGTTAAGCAGATGAAGGATGCTTTCGACGATCAGATGCGTAAGATCAATCAGGCCAAGCACAATGAGAGAGAGCGCATCCCTGCTGAATGCATGGAAGGCACAGCCTTTGCGGCC